GGGGCGGTGGTTCGAACCCCGCCCTGCACAATTCCTCTTGCTTTTTGCACAAAAACACGGAATTTTTTGCATCAAATCGAGCTTTAACCTCTAAAACCGTTATCGAGCCGGTTTTAACGTTTAGGATGACGACAGCTTAAAAATAACGCAAAGAAATCCAAATTTTCGCAATTTTTTGGGTCAAAATGTCGAATAACTTTTTAAATAAAGGTCGGCAGCAGATTTGGAAGCCAGATTCGGAATCAGCAAAAAATTCTGCACAATGTAGACTTGGTCCCATCCTAAAACGCCAGCCTGAGTAAAAACACTTTACAGTTAGGCCACCAGGCCAAGGGAAAGACGGTAGAGGGGAAGGGGGAGAGGAGTTAGGAAGCGTCGGAGGCGCTTGGTCCGGACAACCGGCAGAACCAGGGGTCGCCTGGAATTTCCAACGGGACGATAGTGTACCTTTAAGTGAAATTTCATTAACCTTAGCAAGGTGTGCTTATGCAGAATTTACAGTAATAGCCAACGCTACGATACGACCTTCGTAATTTTCGGAACAGTAAAAAATCACAGAAGCTAGCACCATTTAAAACAAGCAGTTTTCCGGCGTTTCGGCTTAGCAGCTATCCAAAAACCTAGGGTCGGCTACCTAAAAAATGAAAAACCCCTTTTTTCCCCCCCGTGGGGGGGGGGGGGGGGGGGCTTTTTTTTCTTGTGCGCCCCGCCTCCCCTCAACTTTTTTCTGCCCCAAAAACATGCAAAAATCCCAGCTTTTGGTTCCACCGTAGTATTCAAAATCGGTGTCAGGCTGCAGCGTGAGCATTGTTGTGATGAGGAGCATCAGCAGGGGGAATATTTTTGTGAGGATGGGGTGGAAGGGAATGCCATCCTCTTCTACCACCAAACAAGGAACCCGTTCCCACAAGTCTTCCTCTTCCACCCCTCGATTTGCCATCCATCCCTCCCTCCCCCTTGACCATGTTTTGAGCATCAGCCTCCCCGGCCCGAAAATGACCACCACCGGTCAGCGCTGTCTGGTATTTGTTAAAGAGTTGTCTGGCTGTCATAAACTCACTAGATATTTTTATTTCGGTACGACTTTACTTTACCCCCCCCCAGCCGAAACTTCCTAAAAGTTTTCCGCTATAACTTTTTCATATTACATTATTTCGAGCTGTAATTACACCTCATCGGATATTTTTTGATGCCCTATCGATTGGCATAGCGAAAACCAAAAAAAAAATCGGGAATACCATTTTTAGAATTTTTGGAATTAGCTGGGTGGGGTTAAGCGTAAAATCTTACCGATACTTACATCCTTTTTAAAGTAACTCGTAAGTCAGGAATTTCGAGATAAGCCAAAATTTTAATAGCTTGATAAATTCTCCAGAAAAGCAAAAAGTTGAATTTTATCACCATCGATAAAATTCAACCTTTTGCTAGGAATTTTCGAAATTGATAGGAATTTTCATAAATGCAAAAATCGCTAAAAAAACGAAAAAGCGCTTTTAAACGGAACGTGGAATAAATTCCCTGCCATTTTTCCAGGGTTCGTATTCCCTGTCGTTTCCGTGCCTACCGTATGCCGGCTGGTGCTGCGGGACCCAGCCATTCAGAGCAAAGAAAGCTCGCCAGATACCGTATTCATGTCCTTTTTTAGTGGTATAATCTCCAAATTTGATAGGACTCCAATGCAATCAAGTCTTTGGTCAGATTTCAGTGTTTTCACCCACCAAGAAAATTATCTAAATCCATTTATGCCGACGCTAACCGGTTGTCGATATATCATATTTGTTGATGTAGATATTTAGAGTCTTTGAAGGAAGGAAAACTGAAGAGAAATCACATCCGAAACAACTGAAAAGAGAAACGAGGAGAAATTTGCATAAAAGTACAGTAATAAAAGAAATAGTAATATGTCTGTGGGGACAGGAGAAGATCATTTGTTGTCGAAGTGAACGTTGCAATCGGGAGGGCGAGGGGAGGAAGAGGACGAGAAAATTATGGAGGGTATTTGATTGAGGCGGACCATATAAAGTGGATCTTGAAAGTTTTTAAAGGGTTCTCGAAGGTTCAAAGGGTCGAAGCCACCTAGTCAAAGTAGCAACAGATTCTCGGAATTCTAGTTATTTAAAGGGATGAGCAAGACTTAGCTGTGGATTTTTCTGGGTGTGGGTCCCATCTTATATGCCTGCGTATGGTGTGACGCGACCGCAACATGACGCTGCCACTTCAATTACGTAATCGATTACGAAACCTTATCGGCTTTCAAACTGCGTGCGTCGCGTGTCGCGGGTGTTTGGTGGAAGCCTTTGGAATCCATTGCGAAATCATACTTGCCGCTCCCTTTAAAGGGGCTGCCAGGGCCTCCCTATAGATTCCTTCTAGATTTTGCCGCGCCGCGACACGGAAAGCGCCCTGCTGTCTTTTACTGACGTTTCCGTCCCGAGAACGCGAGGCGAGTGCGTTGCTTTTCGCGTTTGCGGGTGTTTCCATAGGAAATCCGTAGCTGAATACAAGAGCCTTGCCTTACGCATCCCTTTAAAAAGTTTTAGGGGCTCTGGAAGCTACTTTAGGCCTTTTAAAGTCACTAAAATATCGTAATGCAAGCCTTTTATGACTTTAAAACGCAAAAATTAGTGTTATTAGCCAAATTTTCTCATTTTAGTCTTTCCCAAATAATCTCCGCTAGCTTCTAGACTTTCCAAACCTCATAAGACTCCTGAAAATCCTAAAAACCCTCTAAAACATAAAAAATAAAGGTGAGCGATGGGGGACACGGGAGAAGGACCGAGGGGGATACCTGTAATCAATGGGGGATACCGCGCAAACAAAGTGGGATTCGAGCTCGAATTTGTGGACGGGTGAGGAAGGGTTGTTTTTGATTTGAATAAAGTTACTTTGTTTTGATTTTAAAATACAATGAAATGGCTGAAAAAGCTCGGAAAATTCTATTAGAGGAGGAGAGGCTCTTTCTACAGTTGTCGCTTGTCGTTTTTGGTTAGAACGAGGCTTCGTCGGTCAGCTCGAGCGCCTCGGCAATGTCGCTGTTTCTTCTAAAATAATATATATTAATTTATTAAACTTATTGTGCATTAAATTAATGCTAATCCATATTTACTAAGCCTAAAATACTTTTCATTTCAAAATATCCGGTCTAAAAACCCCACTTTTGATGCTTGGAACGGCGGTGGTGGTGACGTTTTGGCTTGCTAAATACGGAATTTCATAGCGTAAATGGATATTTTCTTACCTGGCCAGTTCATGCATTAATAGGGGCTCGCGGTGGCCTTCTCGGGGCTCATCGGCTGGCAGGGTGGCGTCCATCTCGGGGAAATTCTCCGGGTCGAAGAAAACCGGGCAGTCGGGGATTGGGACGTGCTCTAGAAGGAATAGATTTAGCTATCTCTCGCTCTCTCTCTCACTCTCTCTCTCTCGTTTTTTCTCTCTCTCGCTCTCGCTCTGACGCCCTCTCTCTATCTCTCTATCTATCTCTGTCTCTCTGACTCACTCGCCCTCACTTCCTCTCTCTTTCTTTCTCTATGTTACAAACTTACCATCCTTCAAATCCTGTCTACCACACTTCAACAGTCTCTTCTCAGCCTCTATTAACTGTTTCTCGAGCCTCTTCAGATCTGCCATCCTCTCGTCGTGCTCATCTTCCACCGGTTCTTCTTCATCCACGATCCGTGCCAGCGTTTTTGGACCATCGTTCGGTTCGACGTCGTCACGCTCGGTGTCCGTGGCACCGCCTTCCACGTCGGTTGCTGAAACGCGTGGTTTTAGAGGGTTTCAAGGCGCGGCAAATTTCACAGCGGCCGCGATACGCAACCCGCACGGATTTGTCCCCAGGAACAGTACTTATTGCCTTCTGCAATGGAAGGGCGGACATGCGCTTGCGTTGCCTGCTGCGGTCTGGTAAAATTCATAAAGGGACACGCAAGACGCCGGATTTTTTTTCTTATGGATATGCCTCCGTGCCGGAGCCGCCACGCAACGCGCGGTCGCGATACGCAACGCAGCCCAAAAGACCGTAATCCATTACGCAATGGAAATGAGGACGGGCCGACGAAAATCCGTGGCTAATCCAGGGCCAAAATCACGACTTGCAGCCTTACTTGGCACTATAAAAACGCTGCTACAGGGCATTTAAAAATTATTAAATAGTTGGAAAACGAGAAGGGTGTCCAAACTGCCTACCTCCTTCCTTCTCCGGCTCCATGGCATCTCGTTTGTTACTCTCTTCCAGATGTTTCATCAGCACAGCCACGACGACATTCACCAACACGAATTGCGAGATCAGCACGAAGATGACAAAGTAGCATGGCGCCAGAATTGGATCCACGCAACAGTTCACTTCACAACGCTCCGAGCTGTCACAGTCGTCCCTGAAAAATATGGGTTTTGATTGGAGCGACCGCCACTTTTGGCTTGAAAATCGGAAGTTGACGCTCACCTCAACGCATCTTTCATAATGCCATTCCAGTTGTCACCCGTAGCTATTCGGAATAACGTTAAAAATGCCATTCCAAAGTTTTTGAAGTGTGCGTGCTCGCCAAGGCCGTCGCAGGGGTGTTCTTCGGAGCATTCTGGAAAAGCTCGATTTTTATTAAATCTCTGGCATTAAAAATTAGGCATTTTGAGAGACTTACCCAATTTCCCGAACAGCTCCACACCGAGGGCGGCGAAGATAAAGAACAGCAGGAAAAAGAGCGACCCGAGGTTTCCGACTTGAGGTAGGGCTTCGCCGACGGTGTCGAGCAGCGATCGTATGCCCTTGGCCATTTTTAGCAGCTTGAGGACTGAAAAATCGTGATTCAGAGGGGCTTTTAATCGCAAAAATTTAGATTGAATCCATCTACAAATCAGAATTAAAATTCGGGGTTTAATACGGAGAAATCAGGCAGTCAGCCGACTTCAAAAATTTACCCCTAGCTATCCGCAGCACCCTCATCACCCTGATGATCGTCGGATTGATGGGCAGCTCAAGGGCCTCGAACTCCTCAAAGATGATGCCGGCGATGGAGAGGAACACGATGAAGATGTCCAGTTGGTTCCAACTGAAATTAATTGACGTCATAAAGATATTGGGGCCCTACCGTTCGGCCATAAACCGCTTGATGCCGAGCGCGGTGAGTTTCATGGCAGATTCCAGGGTGAAGACGGCGGTGAAGAAATAGTTGAGAGCCTTCAGCACGTACTTTAGCCCGTGGGGCATCATATAGAATTCCATGGCCATCGAGATAACATTGATGCCAATAACGGCGGCGATGGCCAGGTCGAAATATTTCGAAGTGACGATGCCGTGGACGAACAGTCGAGTTGGGCCATATTCGTAGTAGTAAGGGTGGAGTTTGACAGCTGAAAAATTTGTAGAAGGGTAATAAATTTAGTTATAGTTATAACAATATTTTTATGGTGCTTTTAAAGCATATTTCAAGATCAAAAATCTTAGAAATTCGATTTATCGTCATTACATCGATATTTTGATTCTCAGAGATGATTTTCGATAAAATTCGACGGATTTTTCCTGGATTTTAATTATTTTTGAAGGGTCAATACGGTAGAATTAAGGAAATAAAATTTTAAACTCACGTTTCTTCTTCTTGTTGGCCAGACACTCTTCGAATTGCGCTCGCTTCAGTTTTCTCTGGAACATCCCCCCCCCCCCCCCCCCCCCCCCCCCTTTTTTTTTTCTTTTTTTTTTTTCCTTTTTTTTTTTTCTTTTATTTTTTTTTCCCCCTTTTTTTTTTTTTTTTTTTTTTTTTTTTTTTTTTTTTTTTTTAAATTTTTTTTTTTTTTTATTTTTTTTTTTTTTTTTTTTTTTTTTTTTTTTTTTTTTTTTTTTTTTTTTTTTTTTTTTTTTTTTTTTTTTTTTTTTTTTTTTTTTTTTTTTTTTTTTTTTTTTTTTTTTTTTTTTTTTTTTTTTTTTTTTTTTATTTTTTTTTTTTTTTTTTTTTTTTTTTTTTTTTTTTTTTTTTTAAATAATCCCCCCCTCCCTTTTTTTTTTTTTTTTTTATACCCCTACCATTATAATAATTTTTAATTTATATTTATTTTTTTTTTTTTTTTTTTTTTTTTTTTTTTTTTTTTTTTTTTTTTTTTTTTTTTTTCTTTTTTCCTTTTTTTTTTTCCCCCCCCATCATTTTTTTTTTTTCCCCATTTTTGGAAGAAAGCCCAAAAAAAGCCGTTTTTTTTTGGACCCCCTGTGATTTGGAAATTCTATGAATAGTTCAAATTGATTCAATAAATATTTAGAAGTCGAAAAGATAAAAACCTTAAGTCAAATGCGACCGAAATTACCAAAGTCCCAGGGTAAAATCTGCGAGATTTCATTAAAAGACTTCCCCACCTGAATGCGCTTTTCGCGTTCCTTCTCCATCAGCTCCCGCTCCAGCGCCTCCTTGCATTTGTGGAAATTCTCGACGACGACCCCGACGAACATGTTGAGGACGAAGAAGCCGACGAGCAAGAGGAAGGAGATGAAGTAGATCATGCGCCACTCGTTGAAGTTTTCGATCGGCTGAAAAAATCAGGGATATAACAGCCTTAAAGGCACATACAAGTCAAAAATAAACCGCTTGTGGATTTTGCCAATTTTGTTACAACAAACACGAAATATTGAATTAAATTGACCTGAACATCTACTGCAACAGCGTCGATCCCCTGGTACATAATCGACACCCATCCGTCTTTGCTGGATAAGACGAACAACGACATTAGTGCTTGGCCGAGGTTGTCAAAGTTGTAGCGGTGGTTGACCCATTTGTTTCGGGTATCTTGCATACAGTCCGCTCTCGTCGTCACGTTGCCAATGTCTGGTCCGACGCAATGGTACATCATTCCCTGCAAAAATCGTATTATCGTTTTAAAGGAGCTGTGAAGTCAGCCTTCGCAAGAGAGAAAGAGAGAGAGCGAGAGAGAGAGAGAGAGAGAGAGAGAGAGAGAGAACCGTCTCACCTTGAACAACTGCACTCCAAGAATCCCGAAAATGATGAAAAATGTGCAGCAGATGAGCACGATGTTGCCGATGGGTTTCAGGGAGGAGATGAGCGTCATTACGACCAGCTAAAGTGCAAAAATTGACTTTAAAGTAGATGAATAAAATTCCTTGTTTTTTGATCCATCGTATCTAAAATTCCCAAATAATCTTTGCTTGCGCGCCAAGACCATTTTTCAATTTTATAAAATTAACGTCAGTGCTTTCTGGCTTATACCTGAAATTCCAAATTTTTACCTTCACACCAGGCGCCCGGTTGATGACTCGAAGTGGTCGGAGGGCTCGTAGTAATCGTAAGACCCGGATAACGCCGAAGATCTTTGGAGAATCTGAAGGATAGTTCCTGAGTAAGAAAATGCATTTTAATTAATTTAAGTCTGAAAATTAAAATATAGTTAGGATCATGGAAGTCAAATTCCGATTTCCTTGCGCTTATTGACTAAATCATTTTTTGATTTCCGAGTTCTTTAAAACAAGAAGAAAGACGAAAAATCTTGAGAAAGGGAAACCTTTTGAATTCTCTAACGACCTTTCAAATCAAAATTTGAGTTCTCAGCTCCTTCAAAAATGCTTAAGGTGCTCAAATTAATCGGAAAAATTTGTTATTTAATAGAAAAAACCACTCGAGTTGAAACTGCAAAAATATATCGAATTGTTAGACGGATCGGCGACGAGGGCCCGGTTAGGAGATTTCGGATAGCAAGGAGAAGCTAATGAATCATTATTGGCTAGGTGAGGACCCTGACGCCATTTTGTGTTTTTAGATAGGGATGTGCAGAAGGACTAATTCACCACCACTAGCGACAAATTCGAAGAGCACGTTGACCAGCGAGATGACCACCAAGATGCCGTCGAGGATGTTCCAGCCGTCTTTGAAGTAGGCCCCTTTGCCCATGAAGCAACCGTTGGCCATTACCTGAAAAAGGGGATAAAATCCATAAAGGCCCTAAATTGAGCTAAAAAATGAGAAAATCGACCTCATCTGTCCATTAGGTCTGGACAACTACACTACGCGTCAAATGACACAGGTAAAAGGTTCGTTTCTTTGATTATTTGAATTTTGACTTTTCTCCCGGTCGATTGAAACGAATTTGAATGTGGGATTTGGCGCGCTGCCAGTAGAATCAGAACGCTTTAAAAGATCAAGAACTGTCAGAATCAACCCGGCATGCTGACCAGGTCTCGACAACTCGCTCACTTCAATTTAGATACAAAAATGTGGTTAAATTGATGTTTTATTTTTTCATTTTCCTGGCTCTTTGACTGAGAAACCGACAATACTGCGTTTTTGCAGCGTCACGTGGCTGTCTACACCCGTTAAATGTTAGGGATCGATTTTGCGCTTCCTTTTGCATTTTAAATGTAATGGAAGCCCATGGTTCCATAAATTTTAGTGAAGAATTTGTGGAAAACTTTTTTGCACATTTTTAAACCAAATGCGGCTTTGATTGGTATTACTCACCTTGAGAAACATCTCCATCGAGAAAATGATCGTGAAGATGTAACCGGTGACGTTCAGGAATTTCCTTTCAATAGAATCTGGTGGAATCGAAGGTCTTTCCATAGCCAAGGTGACGCAGTTGATGCCGATCATGAACAGAATCGTGTAGTCGAACCATTTCTTCTGGGTGAGACGGAGGCAGCTGAAAAATGCACATGGAGATATCGTTATCAGTACCCTACCTGATCCGGACCGGATTCTTCGGCCCCAAACAGTAAAGTGCGTAGTCGGATCTCGTGTAAAAGCACGTCTTCTTCATCAACTTCCGGCATACGGTATTCTCCCGTTCCTCCTCTCGTCGCTCCTCCTCGGCCAGCGCCAATTTCAATTCTTGGCTTGCCTAAAAATTCGGCATTTTTGAGGAAAATTGCACTTTTTTAGTTTTAAGTGCTGACCCGAAAATGAAAAAAATTGGTGCTTGACGTTGTTGTAAATAGTAGTAATGTGGAGGGTGTGGGGGTGACAGATTTAGAGTCAAAGAAAACACAGGCCCCGTTTTTAAAGGGATTGTAACTTTCGGGATTTTGGATTTAAAGGACCGCGGAAGGGAAAATCCATAGCTTGACGTTGTAGATTTTCCATTTCCGCTTCCGGAAAACCATCCAAAATGTTGCAAATCCCTTTAAAAACTTGTATAACTCGAAGAAGAAGAAGAAGAAGAAGTATAAGAATTATAATAAATCGTGAACACCCGAGAGAACCGCAATAAGCTCTATTTACCGTGCCGTCCTCCTCTAGAATCTGCAAATAGGGCAACTATTCGTAAACGCAAAGCATTTGAAATGGTAGAGGGAAGCATTTTGAAGGGACCGAGAAAGCAAGGTTCATATGCTTTTTTGACCTTTCAAGGCGTAAAATTCAGCGTTTTTTTTTGAGAAGATTCTGATTTTACACCTGAATTTTGCCTTCCTGGTTCCTTTAAAAGTTTATTTAAATACCTGGATGAACTTCTCGCGTGCGTACTCTTCGATCAGAGCCCTTCTACCGTGCACCGGGCAGTTAGGGTTGAAGAGCGGCTGATTGAGGCCACCCCAAGAATGTAGCCGTTGACGGCCTCGAGGGGAGACCTGAAAACACACAAAAATCGACGAAACGAGGCCGCAAAGAGTAAAATTGCATAGTTTTAACTATGAACACACCATAAATAGCACATTTTGAACCTCGAACCAAAAAATCAGCAAAAAAAATTATTCTCTGAATCGATTTGGTAAGTTGGCAAGCTAGCAGAGCATCTTTAAGACGACTGTGGTAAAATTTTTGGTTGCAACAATTGAGACAGACTGGCAGAAATATTTTGCAAAACACGCAAAACGCATTGTCGCAGCGTTTATGAGAGATTCTAACCGACCTGTGCTCCAGACACAAGCCTTGGCAGCGCAAGGGACCCATGCCGATTCAACCGTCCCATTCTTCTGCTCTCATCTTCTACTTCCGAATCACTGTCCTCGGCTTCTTCATGCATCCCTCTTGTCTGGCCGATGATTCTTGTTCGGGCTACGATCGGCACCAGTGCACGGCTACCGCCGTTCATCTCGTGATGGGGCGGGAGCAGGGTCTGGCGGCCGAGCTAAAATATGAAAATCAGCTAGGATCCCAAATTGGGAAACCGCAAGGCAGGCGACTATGGAATTTTCAGGCGGCAGAATTCAGAAATATTCTTTTTCCGTAACCTTTGGGCTTCTTAGCGACCCAGCCGCCATGTGACCGCGACGTGAGCGTGACGGAGCCGTTGCGCGTCTGTTTACGTAATAGTAAACGTGAAAACTTATGGCAAGGTCCCAGAATTCCCCGAAAACTCAAGGGGGCTTTAGAAACTTAGCTCATGAAGCCAGTCAAGACAAAACCCACCTCGATCTGCGGAGACTGACTCCCATTCTGATGGATATCATTCCCAGGGCATGAACAGTCGACGGATCCCCGCGGATGGGCAGAGAGGAACTGATTTGAAGCCGTTCTTGCTAGCAAGAGTTCGAGTTCCTTCTTCTGCTCCTGCTCTTCTTCGATGGCGTTTTTTCGTTCTTCTTCTTCCTAAAAAATTGTTGCTAGGTAGCTTCGAGCGTATATTTTACTTTTTTTGCAACTTTACTTTTACTTCGAGCATGAGACTATTTTAAGACATATCTGCTCTTCGCTTTTTCTTACCAATTGGCGCTTCTCCTCCTCCTTGCTCTCCTGAAAGCCCTCGACCAAGATGGCGACGAGCAGATTGAAGAGCACGTAATTTCCAAATGTCATCAGGGCCACAAAGTACAGCGCGGCCCAGGGGGTGGTTTGGGACATTCCGTTGAAGAGGACCATGTTCCAGTCTTCTTGCGTCAGGATCTGAATTTGAATTTTCTGGGTAATTCAAACAGGGCCTCGTGTTGACAGGTTGTTTTAATAAATATAAAATTATAAAATATAAATAAATATTAATTAAAATAAAATTTAAACGAAACGAGACGAGCACTTACAACAGAAAAACCCAAAAAAAAAAAACAGCTGTATGATTTAGCCCCTATATATAAATAAAAATAAAATAACCAAATAGACAACACAACACCTGGAAGACAGTGACGGTGGCCCAGAGGAAATTGTCGAAATTCATCCGATCGCAGTCGCACTCGCCGGCCGCAATCTGGGCACAATTGCACTGGATGCCCGTCTCTTTGTGGTTGCAGAATTTGCCGCCGAAGAACACCATACCCAGCGTACTGTAATTGGGACAACGGAGAAGGGAGCAACGTCACGAAACCAAAGACGGGCTACAGAATCGTATTACAATTTTAATAAGCTTCTTTCCTTTTAAATTTTTTTGCACCACTCAATTACATGTTTAATTTCATACGCATTAGAAAATTAAACTGTTTTCCTTTTTTCAATTCTAAAACTTTTACGAAAGTCTAGCTTTATTTTTGACAAGTTTAAGCATTTTGAAAACAAAAAAAATTAATTTTTTGGATATCAATTTTGTTCTTTAATCTAATTTTCGACTTTTTGAGTGAGTTCTAATGACAAAATTTCAAGATTCAGCTTTTAAAGGTCTCAAATTTTTTTGAAAAATTAATAAATGGAATGCTTACAATTTACGTTCTCAGTCAGTCATTCTAAAACCCGCAGTTTTAAATAGCTACCGTCATTTTTAAAAATCCAGGTCAAAAATGGAACATTTTGCTTTGAAAACGTAGTAAGTCAAAAATAGAAATTCCCATGCTTTTCCATGCAAATGAAGCAAACAACAATCCGAAAAAACATGCCGTGCTTTTCAAAATTTCAAAAATTTTGTAAAAAGTCACGGTGCTCACCTGAAATACGGTAATCAAGGCCCAGAGGAGCGAGTCGAAGTTCTTCCTCTCGCACTTCTTCCACGGCAAATTCTGGCCCTTCCCTGGCTCGAGTTTGCAGAATTTGCACCCGAACAGGTTCATCCCGAGGATGCTGAGAAGTGGATGGTATTAGAATATTATTCTGGGAAAGAGGTGTGATTTTAAAAGGATGCTGACAGGCCACAATCGACGGCAAAAAGTCAGCAAAAAGTTCAGCTTGTTTTTTTAGCTAATTTAAACAGCTTGAATAAAATTTGTTACTCTCAAGGAAGGTTGAAGAACGGCTGGGAACTTCCGAAATCTACGCCTCTCGACAACCTGGAGATTCGTTTAGCGGTTTTTGGGGGCTTGTCGAGACCTAGCGCATGAGAGCGGTCGATTTCCGCGGATCTAAGATTATTTAGTCCGATGCCGCCGGTCGACTGCTTGAAAAAAGAAATAGAAATCGCTCTTCCTAGCTTGTTTTAATGTAGGTTTTTCAGCTCTAAAGCGTTCGTTTTAAAGGGAAGGTGATAAGCAGAAAATGGACGTCGAAAGGTATCAAAGGTACATGCTTCAGATTTTTGTTAATTTTTGCAATATTGCGAAAGTAATGGTTAGTCTAAAACGGGAAGGATTTGACTATTAAATAGTCTGGCAACCGTCAAAATCGATCTCTTGAATCGGTTGGGTCTAGACAGCAACGTGTCACCCAAAAAATGCAAATTTTTTGATTGCGACGCAAATATTCAGGGCGACAAATTAGTGGCTAAAGATGTAATTTCGTTCCGAGCGTAGTTGTCGAGGCCTGGTAGACCAAGGGGGTCGATTTTAACGCTTTCCGTCCTCTTTAAAGGGATCGTAACGGCAAAATTCTAGGGCAAAGCTTGCGGAATGGGACGAATTGTGAGTTTGTTTTTGGATTTCAGGATAGGAAAGGCAGGGGCAGGGTACATGAAATCGAACCAGTTTCAAAAAATTTACCTGAAGATGAAGATGAAGAGAATGAGCAGCCCGAAGAATACGGTAACATTGTCCATCGTCTTCAGCATCACCATCAGCTGATATCGGAGGGCCGGCATGAAACGGACCAGTTTCAGGATACGGAGAAGGCGGAAAGTACGAAGCACGGAGAGGCCGCCCTTGCCTTCTTGGAATAGCTCCAGAACGCTGAAAATTTCGAGAGATTACGGTAGCTAGATGGTAAATAACTTAACAACCTCTAACATTTTCGTAATGACCAATCATCTCACCTGAGCGCGACGATACCACCGTCGAAAAGGTTGAACCCGTCGGACAGATAGCCGAACAACCCATCGGCGATCACTTTGAGCAGCATTTCGAAGGCGAACAGACCCGTGAAGAAATAGTTTGAGTACTCGAGGATGTGCGTTAGCATTTCTGGCTGAAAATGGGGTTTAGAAAAAATATGGATTTCCACCAAAATTCGCAACAATTATTCTATTTTTCTAGCTATAGGCTTCTTACAGTTTTTTTTAAAACATGTAAAGAAACGATCGCAAAAAAGAAGTTTTACAACCGCCCAAAAAAAATTTAAAAACCTTGAAAAATGGGCAAAAACATGCTTTTTAACTGAGTTTTTCGTCTATGTTTTTTGCTGTCACGCTCCCTTTAAAATACGTAAAAACGTAAATCGATTACGCAACTAAATTACTTGCCTGATTATGATATTCGACACCCATTGAAAGCGTATTGACGAGGATAGCCACCAGAATCCCCCTCGTGAAATGGTCACAATTCACAAAGGTTCGAACCTGTTGTCGCAGCCAGGAGACGCTTGCTTTTTTCTGAAAATGGGCTCGTTATGATACTCATAAAGCTTGCTTCTAAATCGCACCTTTTCTTTCTTTGGCTTCTTCTCATCCCCCGTCGCTTCCGGCAGCTCTTCCTCAGACCATTCGGAGTCGGACTCGGTTTCGGTGAGCGTCTCCCTGGATCTGAATAATTTGAAAGTCAAATTGAATTCTTGTATTATAAGGCCTGGACTTTTGCCAGCAAACTTAGAGCATTAAAGGGCGAGGTAAGGCAGGACTATGCATTTTTTGCGTCAGCATTCTTATAGATTTTGACGCCCCTCGATGCCTTGCTAAAGAAATATAATTGGTTACGCGGTCGAAAGAGAGTTGTCCCTCCTCTGATTTTGGCGGCTGTAAAGGGACTACAAAGTCAGGATTATACCCCTTGGGCAGACTAGGTCCTGACAGCGACGCGGCGGGCCAAGACACGCTTCTGGCGGTCGCCGATTTGTCTTAAAGCTAAGCTCATGCTCGTCGGGTAACAGTCCACGTGGTTGTCTAGAAGGCCGATTTCGCGCTTTCCAGGCCTTTAATTTTTAACCGATTTTTCGTTTTGTAATGGTACCTGTTCGTCTCCGTATTCTCCGTCTCGGTCCGCACCCTCCCATTTGCCGGCTTCTCCGCAATTCGCATCAATTCGGGCATCATGTCTTCCGACGCTTTTCGCACCAAAACTGGCGTCCCGCATTTTGAATCTAAAAACCTCGATTGGCACCCAATTTTCTTGAAGCATCACATGTAGAGGCAAATCGTAAAAAATCGGGACAATTTTATTGGTGGACAGTAAGCAGCCGACTGTGTGAATATATGGAAGAATGGCAAACCTGTTTCTATGGAGACCAGGGGTACTGTAGGAGGGGAAAGGTATTTTTTACGATCGATTTGACACTGATTCATGACAAGACCTGGTGCCGACCGACCGAACGTTAAAGGGACCGGAAAGAAATAACTATGGATTTTCTATGGATTTGACGCGACCCAGACCCGCAACGCGAGCGATACACAACGCGCAGTTTCCGCACCCAACGCGTCGGCTTGCGACACGCGACGCGTGCACGTAACGCTGGCGCCCATATTCCATGGCGTGATGCACGCTTTATCAGGACAAACGGCATACGCTTTGTGTATAGAATCGGTCCCGGTCCAAGCCATATCGAATCTATGGCGGACGAAATCCATAGCATGCCCTCCCGCTCCTTTAAAGTACGGGTATTTGGTCTATGGGAATTTTGGAAGCTTTTCTCGTTTTTAAATCCAATCTAACAATTTTTAGGTGAATTTGCTATATTTTAACTCAAGGAAGGAAGGAAGGAAAGGAAGGAGAACTTGCTTCGGAAAGGAAAACGGCTAGTAAAAAACGGGTAATAAATATATCAGGCTTGGTGAAAACATTACCCAGTTCCTCCTCAATCTTGCTCAACTTGCATCGCTCGTCAATTCCACCCTTCTTCTTCTCTTCCACAGGACCGTTGGCCGCTGCCTTCTTCTCTTTCCTCGACTTCCAGCGCTAAATTTTGGATCATAGATGATGAATATGTAATTTCCTCACCTGTTTAGTGTACTTCCTGACCCGTCTTGACGTCTGGCGAATGAATCGGACCATGGCCGCATAGATAGAGTCGCCGCCTCCGCCTTCGCCGTTCGCAGAAGCGGCCAAGGCGGCCTCACTTCCGGCTGAAAATCGGGGGGGTTTAGAAGTTTTTGGGTATCTTTCGTTATCGGCAAGGGTAATCGCACCGTAACATGCATAAATATATACGCATTAATGGTAGGTATCTCTTGGGGGGCTCCATAAACTCTGAGCCTAAAACTTTCGGCGTGGATTTCAAGCCACGTTTTGGCGAAGTTAAGTAATTTATATTTGCGCATTAATGATAGCTTCTATTGATCGCACTTGCTTTTAAAACCGGCTTAATGGGACAACATATAGGTTTCTATAAATGAAGCCACTCACAAAGACTTCCAGTCTGACTCTGCATCCTTTTCCTCTCCTGCATCATTCTCTCCGTTTCCCTTCGTTTCGTCTCCGCAAACTGAGTGGCGATGACGACGAGACACAGGTTGATCATGAAGAATGCGCCGATCTGGATCAAGAAGCGATGGATTGATGCTTACATTTTAGCCCCAATTTTCATGTCCCACTCGAAATCCCTGCCATCGTTGACCAAAAAAAAAACTCACGACAATAAGGAGCACGAAGTAGATCCAGTTCCAGAAAGAGTGGGCGTCTTGCACGTAGTACATAATGTCTGTCCACCCTTCGAGTGAGATGACCTAAAGAAGAGTTATCAGTACCTTAAAATACAACCAAATTGCATTCAAAATAATTCCAAGGGGTTTAGATAATTTTCATTCAAACACTGCGCTACTGGGCTTCAAAAAAAAATTATTTTTAGGTAATAAATCCCTATGAACCCCCTTTATAATTTTAGCACGTGAAATTTCACGCAATCTACCTTCAAGGGTCCTTAAGAGGTTTACGAAGCGAAGAAAGTTTGAAAAAGATACTGCTAATTAAAGTTTTGGTGTATGATCTTTGTAAGTTTTGATGCATGAAATCGGCTAAAAATTCGTCCAACTCACCAAAAATATCGCGACCCACGCGAATCCGATATTATCAAAGCTGACGGATCCCTGGAAGGGGTTACGGTGTTCCACCTCGCATTTGTTGTAATAGAGATTCCAGTTTATACAGGCTGTCGGGGAGACCTGGTCGTATTCTTCGAGGGTTAGGTGGCATCTGAAAATATTTTATGTTTTTGAGTAGCGGTTATACCCAAAAATCAAATTCTTTTTAATAATCTAATAAAAAAATAGGATAAATATCACATAATATAAAAATTACCTAACGCCGTCCTTGACATACGGCGGTAATGAAAGACAGGTGTGAAGTCCGGAATGTTCGGCATCAGAACAAATGTACTCCATGGAGGTGTCCTCGGGGATGTAGTACCTTTAGAGGTATATTTCATATTTTTGAATTTTTAATCAACGTGTATAACGTCAAAAATGATTATCCTTAAAATCAGCTTTAAATTAAAAATTTCTACCGTAACCGGCGGTTTTGGATGGATTTTTAACGCCAGGAACCTCTAAATTTCATAATTCTCACCTGGACAATGATATATTGGCAAACGACATTTCGGCGTTGGTGATGTTGAAATCGGGCAGGTTGAGGATGCAGCGATTTCTGTAATTGGGCCAAAATACAGAAGTTTCGACCCGAAAATACCGCAACAACCCGGCCCACAACTGCACCCCGACGATCCCAAAAATGAAAAAGACGAAGAAGCAGAGGAGTAGCACGTTTCCCAGCATTGGCAGTGTGTCGAGAAGCAGGTTTACTATAATGGGAAATTTTTGTAAATACATCTTTCATTGAGCCCAAATTTTTCTGGAATAGTTTCAACAGTATGCTGAACGCGACGCAGATCTCCGTGCTCCCATTCCATCGCATAACGGACTTTGAGCGTTCACAGCATCGTGTGTACGCGTCGCGTGTCGCGGGCGTGGTCAATTTCCCCGAGAATTTTTATACACCGCTTGAACCCATTGCGAAACCAGAATTTAGTGATTATAACTCGTTTAACTACAAGACTTTTTCATTTATTAGATTTATCATTCATTCATTTAGAATTAAACGACTTTAAAACCTTCAGAAATCCTAAAATCCTACCCAATATCCTCATGGACGGTATCCGATTGACGGCTCGGAGGGGCCGAAGTACCCGAATCGTTCGAATCGCCGTCAAGTTCAAATTACCAATGAACTCCTTCAGGAACACCTCGGCAATTCTGAAAAAATCAACACCTTGTCAATTTCATAAAGGCTATCTTACCCAGCTACGACGATAAAAAAGTCGAGCCGATTCCACGTGTCGGACATGTAGGCTGATTGGCCGTAGAACCCGAGGGCCACGATTTTCACAACCATCTCCAGGGTGAAGTAGACGAATATTAACCAGTCGACAACGTCCAGGATTTGGCAGCGGACCGTTTGGCAGTCATCACCATCTTCGCACGGTCGATACATGCCTGGGAAAGGTTATAAAATGCGCTTAGGGATACTGGAAAAAGCCTAAATCGACCCTTTCGTCGACTAGGTCTCGACAACTATCCCAGGCGCTAAATTATGAATGAAATGGATTGGCAAGGTATTCCAATGCAATTTGCTGGCCATATTACGCTTATTGTTCGAGTAACTGGTTAAGATTTATTTTGCATGGCGAGCAGCCGTTGCGTGTAGAAATCGACCCCTGATATGGACTAGGTCTAGACAGCTACGGGCCACTCCACATGACGCGCTAAATCTGTTTTGAGAGCTTTTTTGAACAAATTAAAAAATGTTTTAAACCGACTTTTAGAGTTGTCGGGACTTAGCCAATGAGAGCGGTATGTCCTAATAGGCTTGTCTGCGTTAAAGTAACCGGTAAAATCCGAAATTTTTAAACGAATTTAAGCTGGTTTTGACCCTACCTAACGTCACACAGTTGATGAAAATGACGGCCATCGTGATTCGGTCGAACCACGGACTCATCACAGCTTTCAGGGCCCAACTTCGGGGAGCTTGCGACTGTTTCAAGCAGTGCAGGGCTGGCTCGACGAACCTAAATATCAGGCTGCTTTTGAAGGATATAAAAGTGAGAAAAACGTAATTTGGATAATACCGTAAGGATAATTCATCATCTTTTAGGTATTTACACCACCAAAATTCTAAAAATCATGATTTCCTGGCCAAACTAAATTTTTTGAGGTATTTTTAAGGGAATTTAAACCGTTTGACTACTCTTTTCCAAAAAAAAACGGAAAACATAAAATTTCTATTTTTTTGGATGTTGCTAGGTATATTTTTGCTATTTTTAGGTAATTCGAGACCAAATATTTCCAACAAATCATATTTATGTTGTCAAAATTGAATCTTTCATAAAAATATTTTTAACAAATTTCAAACGGGGTTTGGGTTTAAAAATTAATAGGTATTCAAGGAGGAAATGAAAATCTATGACTTTTTTGGGGTTTGCTAGCTTTCTGGCCTTACGTTTGACCCTCCTCTTCTGATTCCGGATCGGTAAACAGCTGAAAATCAGAATAATCGTATAAAAACGGACCCGGGGTATGGCAGGAATCCACCTCTTCGTCGAGCACCGAATCGTCGCCCCATTCCACTTGTTTTATTAGCGGAGGGACAGGAGCGGAAGACGATGAGGGAGGGCATGGTGGGCAGTCTTCTGGACGAGAGGGGGAACCCTCGATTGACTAAATAGGATGGTATAGAATGTATTAAATTGATTGCCTTTGGATCATCGGTTTCTCCACTAATTCATCGATTAAAGGGACGAACAAGGCTGGATTAGGGATATTCTCGTTTATGGATTCCGTGTAGTGTCGGACAGCACCCCAAGAAACAGCCTGTGCGGCCGAAACGCACCCCAAAACACACCCGGGGTGCGTTCAAAGGCATTCGGGTACACTATTAAAGGGCACGTTCAGAGACGTTTTTTTGGAAAAAAGAATAGATTTTTGTCGGGGATGGGGGTTCGAACCCGGGCCCCCGCTCAGGAGGCGCGGATGGGTACCAGTCAACCACAGCTACAACCAGGCGAGGGGCCGAGGGCGCTCCACGCCGCAAAGGAGGGGAATGGCCTGTCACAGCACGGGCAGGCAGTGCGCGCGGTCCCTACGTTCATAGGGTGTACACGTTGGGACGAGTACTCGGCCCTGCCCTGAACGTGCGCTTTAATGCACCCCCGCGGGAGTGGGGTGCCTTTCTTGGGGCGCTGTCCGACACTAATTCCGTTTCATGTTTTAGCGGAGCGTATGGCCAAACGGTGTGCGCGTTGCGCATTGCGACTGCGGCAAAATCCGACGAAATCCATAGCGCAATCGACGCTTTGCCTGTCCTTTAAAGGGGCGGGGAGGCAGGAATATCAATTTTGGTGGCTATGGGGCATCATACGGTTTTTTCTAGGCCCGCGATACGCAGCCCAATATCAGGAATAGGTTTCTTTGCGCGAGGGAAATGCGGTTGCGTGCGACGTGTATTGCGCCCGTGTGAAAATCCATAAAAAAATGTGCTTTTGCCTTGCCGATCCCTTTAAAAACATATAGCAGTTGTTTTTGGGTTTTTCTTTGTACTTACATCGCTATCTGTTCGCCGTCGACATGACTGTGACTGGCGTCGTTGGGCGAGACTTTGGCGTCTCGCAAGGGCCGCCCTGAAAATCAACTTTTTCATATTCATGTATTAATTGTTAATGCTGTGATGTCCAGAATATTATATAATATTTATATTTATGTTTGGAAAGCCGGAAATCGATTTTTATGCCCTTGAAATAGGTTTTTCCTTACCGGGGTCCCGAATATCGCGAAAGGGAGGAGAAGCTGCGCAGCTCGGGCACCGGCTGTTGGAGCATCTGGGAAAAGCAACGTCTTCCAATTGCTGACCCAATTACCGTATGGGCGGTGACTCAGAAGGCAGCGCTCGCCGTGGATTAGGGCGCATTGGCGCCCCGACGGCGCATTCACTTCTGCAAAATTCAAATAAATATTTGATAAAAATTTCTGCATAAAAATTGAATTCAGGCCAGTAAATGTTGAAGAAATTAAAAATTACGAATGCAATAAAGCATTTTTGCGAAAAAAGCCGACATTTTTAAAAAAGTGTGAAATTGCAATTTCAATCTTTTACATATTGATGGTTTTTCTCTGTAGTTATTTCGTATTCTGATCAACGAGCTAAACAAAGATGGTTGGACTTGAGCCATAGCCCTAGTAAATGGGAGGAACAATCAGCCGGACCATAAATCTCGCTGTTTTTTCTTGGTCAGCCGGCTGGCTGGTGGTGTGGCCGGAGAGTGAACGTATTACAGCAAGAGACAAGTGGACGGATGGACTAGACTGGGCGCCTTGTCATGCGAACGGACTTTTAAGCAGCGTATTTTGGCCGAATTCTGTGGCTTTTCCATTCAAAACCTAAAAAACACCCCAGAACCGATTCGCGCAACTTTTTCTGAAGTCGGTTTTAATAAGCAAGTAAGCCAGCATTCTTTTCCAGAGATCACCCCTCGCATGGTCATTTCTGGTGCATGTCCAGAGATCCCGCCAAAAAAACCCGGCAAAAAAGGTATGTGCGCAACTTCCTGAATGGGCAGAATGGGCGGGAAGGTGACCAGGTAGAAAGGGGCCAGATTTCTTCGGCAAAACTTCAGAAGTGGGATAGGCAAAGGGCCAAAGTGGGCCCTTCCATGGGCCGATCTAGGAGGGCCATATATCTCCACCCCCACCCCCACCCCCGTAGAGCAATTCACGAAATCACCAAGGAATTTTGCAAGGCGAGGAAGAGAGGGAGAGGGGCAGGGAGAGAGAGAAGAAAGAGAGAAAGAGAAAGAGACAGAGAAAGAGAGAAAGAGAGCGGGAGAGAGGGAAGGATAGATAGTTGATGCTAGAGATAAACGGAGTAGCCTAAAAATGCTGAATCTAAGCCAAAAAATTAAATTATTAAAACCAGCGAAAAAGCCTTGGAAACTGCCAGCTATTCACTATCCCTTTCTCTCTCTCTCTCTCTCTCTCTCTTTCTCTCTCTCTCTCTTTCTCTCTCTCTCTCTGTCTCCCTCTCTCTCTCTGTCTCCAATTTCTCTGAAATGAATCACAAATCAAAGAAATGTTGACAACTTATCCGTTATACCTTAAAAACCGCAAAATCTCAATCCATTTCCAGAATTGTTTTCCAGAAAAAGGGCTCATCTGGGGAGAGAAATGGATTCTTGGATGGGACATATTGGCAACATTGTCATCTTGGAAGCCCGCTAATAATAGGGAGATGGGAGGAGAGAGCATGGGAGAGAGAGAGAGCGAGAGAGAGAGAGAGAGAAACGCGCGACGAGAACGAGTAAGAGCACGCCTAGACCACCAAAATTGCTAGAAATCAAGCGCCAGAGATAATGACAAATCGAGAAACCACCAGATTCAAGAGATCCAGAGAAACATAGCAAGCACGAGATAATGAGCACCAGTGAGAGACTTAGAGGAACGTCATCGGCAAGGAGGGCGCCGGTTGACAGATTGAAATGGGCCCCCGTGGGTCTCCCTCCCCTCCTTCTCTCTCTACACAGAGCAGATATGGCCATTATTTTGCCCGAACGGGCACCCATTTTTTAGGCATCGCTGCTTTAGGATGGGGGAAGATGGGGGAAGGGGGTGCTGAGCGGGGTGCTTTTAAAGGGGCTGGCAAGTTTGGAGCGGCGGGCTTTATTTGGTGCTTTTGTCGTCGGTTTAACGAAAAATAAATTATTTTTGTTTGTTTTTTTAAAGTTGCGACTAACTATTGCGGCTAATAAATTTTTTTGAAAGATTTGTACAGTGTTACTAAAAATCTGCCGTTTTTCTCTTTATCCCCTATTTCTTTAAATTTTTGAAAAACTGGCATGGATGTGGTTTTTCGGGTGAATTCATGATCATTCATTTTTTTCCTTTTTATCAAAAACTAAAAAACGCACGCTCTATAGTGCAAATGTATCTATAAGAAATGGCAGTTTCTAACGATTTAGAAATTTTCGAAAACTGCAAAATTTCTTAAAAATATCATTTTTGACTTTGAAAAAGAATATCTTTGGAATTGTGTTTAATGGTTTTTAAAAAGTGCTTGAAGTAGGATACACTTTTAAAAAGTATAATTTACGGTGAAAATTCTTAATTTTTTTAATCTGGCTTTGAACAGCGACTTTTTGAATATGAAGCAATTGCAGAAAAGGAAATAGAGCACGTTTTAAAATTTCCTATGATAAAATCGGTCGTTCTCATTCGAAAATTTTTGTTCTAAATTCGTTGCGCACTAGCAAAATCCGCCCGCGACATAAAAAGCCCACGTGCGTCCAAAAAAAGCTCCCGAATATACGGCTTCTCCAAAAAGGACAGGCCACACGCAATCCCTTGCAGCCGATCCACACTTCAAAACAACTAGCCAAGGCGTGTGTGTGGGATGACGCAAAAAGTGCATTTTCTTTTGGAAAAAGAAATATTGCAAGTTGCAATTCTTAAGAATGGACTTTCTTTCTGAAGGTTTTCAAACACCGAAAAAGCAGCGAAAATTACAAACTTCGATTTCAGTTTCTTTTTCGAAACTGACAGACCCGAATGCCCTGTTTTCTGTAGTGGAAAAAAAGGATGATTCTTGGTACTCGAAATTTGAGGTCTGGCTCCAAATTGTACCCGATAAAAAAAATGCGCCCGAAAACAGACTGGCGGGAATTTCGGGTTCTTATGGATTGAGGCCCTGGGCCCTTGTGGTGAGATTGAAGCAGAGAAAAAGTTGTTATGAGTATTCTATAAATCAGAATTTTGCATTGACCGCTCGAGGACAGCGAAATCGCCATATGCGGAGACGGAATTGGTGCCGATCTCGTGTGAACGATATCTAAGGTGAGTCTATGTAAATTTGTAAGAATTCAGAGATGTCGGGAATTCAGAAAATTGTAGAAAAATAACCGCGACGTCCAGGAGTGCCTAAAACTATGCTCATTGGAAAAACAAAAGATAAAAACTAAAAGTACGGTGGAAATACAAATTAAAATACTATTTGGAAGTGAAGCGAATCGATTATCGGGTGGAAAAACAGGCCGGGACGGCCGTGGGTCTCATTTGAAGCGTATCGTAGCGTAGTCAAACGCCTTAAAAACTTTGGAAGACGCGGAGTGTTCGTGGGAGATTAGATTAATTGCAAGCAGGCAATGTCCTAAATATACCACTTAAGATCATGCTAAAAAATTTTTTTGTTTTTCAAAAAAGGTAAATGGTTAGTTCTCTTCACAATCTTTTAAAAATTGGATCAAGAGCTCGCGAGGCCGATTTCCGGTCTACAGCCTCGAAAAATCACTAGACCAGCCAGCTGAGTCACATTCCCGCCAATTTCCGGTCACGAACCAATTGATCGGTTCCTCATGGGTCTGGTGGGGGAGACAATAAGCTACGTAGTGACAGCGCCTCGAGACTGAGGGAAGATATGGCTTGGATGGGCCCTGGTTTGTTCGGCAGGGGGGAAACATGTGTTTCTCGCTCTTTTTGGGGGAGGGAGAGAGAGAGAGAGAGAGAGAGAGAGAGAGAGAAGAGTGAGTGTTGTTGGTGGGGGAGAATGAGATGGGCCATTCGATGGGTCCTTGTGTCCCCCGGCTCGGGCTCGTTTTGTGTCCTCATTGGAATGGCAGAAATGCGGAAAATGAGACCCATCTCCACAGGCCGTAGCCTCTAGAGGGGGTCCAATGAGGTCGGCGACCATCAACACCAGCGAAATCTTGGATTCTTAGGGTTTTTAAAGGGACGAAGAAGGCATGGCTATGGATTTTGAAGGATACGGATTTCCTCTGGATTCTGTGGGACCAACCGCGGCGACACGAAAGACCGCGACGGAGCGGGATACAAGGAATCGCGACGCTACGCGCACGGAGGGCCGTGACCAGGGGCGTACGAGGGGGGCAACAGGGCAAGTTGCCCCCAAAATCGGCCGAAGGCCGAAAAGTTCATAAAGGGGACCCTTATGATTTTTCAATAAAAATTTTTGTTTTTCATTAGTGTGGGAACTGTCCTCATAAAGTTTTCGCCTGCGGCGCGTTTTCTGTGATGTTTTTACATGAATTTGAGCGTTGCTAACCCTTTTTCCTTATTTTTTGGTGGCCTGCGGCGCTGTTATAGCTGGCCTGCTTAAATCTCGGGTTCGTGTACGCCCCTGGCCGTGACGCAAGGCGTAGCGATTGACCGCGCCGCCGCACGCAGCGGACAACCGCGACGCGACACTGGAGAGAACCGCACCTCCGCTCTTTAAGGATGAATAATCAAATCGAATCAAACGTGCCGAAATCTAGCAAGGTATCGAATAAGGTTCTTTGAAGGTAGCCGTGTTATTGCTTTTTTGTGTCGTATATTAGATACGGAAATTGCCAACTTTAGCGGCGACAACAGCTACTGTAAAAATTGCTGATTTCCGACGCCTACCTCTTATTTTTCACTTCAAACAAGAAAACAGTCAGGGGAAACGGGGCTAATATCCGATTGTGGGCTGATGCTGACTTCAGCACCCTCACTCACGTCAGGATCATCCTGATTTCCTGAAGGGTGAAGAATGAAAAATGAGAAAAAGGGGTGACGAAGTATAGGGTTTCCGAAAAGCCACATAGAAACAGGGAATTGCAAAGCGACGAAAATAGCAAGAGAAACTGAAAAATACGCGTTTTTCCAAAAAATGGGAGTCGATGATTTATCACAAGAGAAACCAGAAAACCATGAATACCGATAAGCAAATAAGAAACGCCTGAAACCTCCAAGGGAGTTGAGGGGTTGAGGGGTTGAGCTCAACCAAAAGCACGTTTGTCTACAAATTGTTATGCCAAACAGGAGATCTTCCGGCGACAGAATGGCTATTTTT